TTAATAATTAATTTAATGTCTGACATTCTGACAATCACCATGTGAACTAGATTAGTGAAAATTAATGAAATTAAATGCCACATTAATTAAAGTCCACATGTCATTAGATTAGTGAACATGAAATCCGTCATTATTTTCATGTAATGATGATGCACCCATGACGAAATTAAACCTTTTTTCTAAGCACAATTATTATTAATTTAGACTTTGACATCATTATGCCGTCACCCAAACATCATCATTTTTCCTGGGATCGTTCCTTTCATGGACCAAATGGTCTTTTCATTATTTGCACGCCACTAAATTGACATATACAATTATTATGAAAATTACTTCTGAATTTTAAGAATTTTCAAATAGAAAGTTTTCTTGTCTCACAATTTAACGTGGAAATAAATCAATTTTACGGAAATTTTATTGTCCCGTTGCGAAACTATTTCGTCGAAATTTATAGGATTATCATGTAACTGTCGAGAATAATTGATGTAACGGTTACAAAATTCGATATGATTTCGTGAAGGGTGCGGAAGTCGTAACATCTCTCTTAATTTTAGATTGGAAATATTATTTCACGTATTGATTGGACGAGTTAAAAAAAGGAGACAAAGAATTCCACGTGTTGGTTGCTAAATGGACAAAGCAAAATAAACCAAAATGTCTCGGAAGATATATTTAATTGTTTTCACTATGTAAATATATTTAATATTAATTGTATAATTTAGTATTTTGCTGGTGAGCCGGTGATTTACTACATGGTCACAAATCCACATTTTATAAATAAAGAGCATATACTTATATTATAAATGTCATAATTTTATTATATCAACGTCATTTTGAATTATGATATATTTGTATAAAAATATGTATATTTGTGTAAATGTAAAAGAGCATGTCGGTCTAACCAAAATAAAAAATAAAATAAAAAATTAATTGCTTTGTAATTTGTTCGAAAACAAAATGTAGTTAGTGCATTTAATAGTTAAATATGTTACTCCACTATATTTTTAAAATCAATGTATCTATATATATATATAATAGTAATAAAATTACAATAACAATTTCACAATTTTCTAATACACTGTCCTAATTTTCGACAGAACGAACAGTTAACGAAGAACAACATGATCAACGAACATTGTCAAATAGAAATTAAAGTTGATAGAGAAGAAGTTATAAACGAAAAGGTTTGATTTATAGTTACAATTAATCTGTAACAAACTCAATTCATGTCAAGAAGCTCTTCATAACATTAATCGAAATAAAATTTGACAGGAATTGAGTTAAATTTGAGTTAAAAAAAAAATATATCAAATAAATTAACCAGTTGATCTAGAACAAACTCAATTAGTGCCAATGAGCTCTTCATAACATCCATCGAAATAAAATTTAAGGAGGATCGAATTGAGTTAAATTTAAGTTACAAAAAAAATTATATATATAAAAAAATTAACCAGATAATCTGTATTTAATCAGGGTCTTATTAGTTTTTATTATTTCATTTTTCAATATTTAATTACAAGAAATAAATAATTTAAATGACATGGACATCTAACCTAAATGATGTATCTATACCTAAATAAAGAGTTGCATAACAACTTATACGAACGAACAAAGTGAAAAGTGACAAAAGCATAGGCACATTTTGATGCTAAATCCAAATGAAATGATTTTTTGAAAAAAAAAAAAAAAAAAAAA